TATAGCTTATTGTCATAGTGATGAGAAATGTAATATTGTGTCTACTCTGTAAGTCGCTTTGGATAAAAGCGTCTGCCAAATGCACAAACATAAACATAAACATCTATATGGAGGAGTGTCCACCTACCGTTATCTTGGTCCCGCTGGCCTGGTTGATCCTGTTCATGTGTTTGCAGAACTCGGGCCCGTGGCCGTCCCGGTCCCGGTTGTTCTGGGTCACAAACAGGAGCGCGTGGATCATTTCGTGGAGGAGGGTCTGCGGACGCAGAGCAAAAAAAAGACGTTTTTCAGTCCGTCGATGGCTTTAAGAAGAGAGAAATGTTTAGTTAGTTAGTTTTATTAGGATCCCCATTAGCTGCCAAGTAAATGGCCACTAGTCTTCCTGGGGTCCTCACATGAAAAAATTACATTACATTGAGAACAAATCATTAAAAAAACTAAAAAAAACACAGTAGGAAATAATAAGAACATAAACAAGAGCAGAAATATACAACATATATACACAGGTCAGTTCATCATATCAGTATCTTTTTTAAGCTTGTTCTGTTCTTAACTCTTCATGTGGTTATTGGCAGTTGGTTCCAGTGAAATATGGCTCTATAATTGAATTGAATTGAATATACTTTATTGATCTCCAGGGAGAAATAATGCGCTGTGGATTTTAGAGAGTTTGTTCTGGGTCGAGGGAGTTTAATGTCTCCACCTCGTGCCCGCCTTGTTAAGTAATTATGACTTTGTTCAACAAGGACTAAATGTTCAGCAAAAATGAGGGCTGTTTTTTAAAGAAAACATTCCATATAAATAACATGCTGAGGCACAGAGGCTCGTTAGGAAACACAACACAAGATTGGACTCCAAAACTCGCCTCCACCAGGTCTTTTCTTGGTCGAAGCTTCAGCAGCGGCTCGCTGAGTCGGATCGAACACAACCCACCGCGGCCTTCATAAGAACACACACCGGCACACCTGAGAGGACACAGAAACCCCATCAGTTACCAAATACGTTAAAGCTGCAGAGCAACAAAAAGCAAGAACCTTTAAAACAACATCTTCCTAAAATAAATACAATAAAAACGCATTTTCTGGCATCATTTGATTGTATTGTGGTCTTATCTAATGTGATAAATGTGATGTGTCTCATTGTGATCTGACATATTTGTAGTTCTTCAATTTCTTAGTATTTTATCTTGTAAAATGTTAATGGAATATTATCAAATGTTGTGCCTTATGTTAAGCAATACTCTTATGAGATATTACATCTAATGATCTAGTATTTGGTACCTTTATGTCAAGTTTCCAGGTGGAAACACAACAAATAAACCCAAACACAACACAACAGTACAAATACAGAAAAATGATATGGGACTAACAGTGTCATCCTGGGGCTCCACTTAACCTCCACTCCACTAAGTTTCCCCCAGAAAAACGTGTCGTTGAACTCCAGAAACATGGCCCTAACATCTGGGCTGGGGTCCAGAATCTCCCAGGATTCATCCACGATGCTCAGGGGTCGCTGGGGGTTGGGGGTCCGATTCCAGACTGGGATAATATCGCTATCTCCCCCGTTTACCTCCACCTTTCGTTTCTTACTGCTGCTTCCGAGGTGGTTTTCTTCAAAGCCGTTTGTTGACAACAGCGTAGTCTCATATTCGTTGTCAAACTGCTCTTGCAGTTGAATAGCAAGTAGAAAATCCTCATCCATGACAGTTGACAATAGCAGCTGGAGGCAGGTTAGCTAGCTAGCTAACTAGCTAGCTACATGAACACTAACGGCTAATATAGCCAGTTAAATCGTCCTCAAACAAATGGCAGCTTGGACTAAGTCATCATAAAACTAATTAAAACCAAGAAGATAAACAAATGCTCTGATTTGTTTAAAAACACTCATATTTTCTTCATAGTTGAAGGGATTTTTTTAACAAGCCAAAGCTACCGCCATCAATAGTCATCAAGGTTTCATGGTTTCGAGGCATTTCTGGTTAGTGTTTCAGAACAAGAGTTTAATCGCTGTTCAAACATGTGTTGGGTTTCGGGTGTAGTGTTTTTTTTAGCGTCCATTTACCATAAAATAAAGGCTTTAAGGCATTTTTTTCTATATACATATGTTAAATAGACACCTGTGAAGTGTTTTTACTTTAAATTTTAACTTCCGGTGAAGGCTTTCATTTAACTTGACAGGTCTAGTGGAGGAATATGTGGTAACGGTAGGTGGAGCTTGTTGGCCAAACAAAACTTACCCTAAACGCTGTGCATCAACTTGATTCGATTCGATTAGATATAAAAAGGAAAAAACAGTACAAAATATACATATAAGATATTTAACATATCGTTATTAGAAATCTTTAAACGTATGTGAATGAAAAAATCTGAATACATAAGCTTTGGCGTTAGTTTGTTTATAATTGGTTGGCCATCTTTTTTATTGAAGTCACACGGATGTCAGC